CCTCCCCTCCTCCTTTGATCCCTTTCTCCCCTGTCTCTTCCTGATATTCGTTTATTTCTAATTTGTCCGAGGGGTTCATATCGTCGACCGACTGATTCGTACACCGTTCCCTCCCTCCCTTCCTCCTTCCTAAGGTGTGCCGAGTCCTCTTCATGGGCGTCTCGAACATCCACGTCATCCGGAAGAGCTGGGACGCCCTGGAGGTGCTGTGTCGCCGTCGGGAGGGAGAGGGTGGCGGCTTTGGGATGCAGGTATGGAGGGAGGGAGGTATGGAGGGAGGGAGGGAAAGAGGGGTGCGGGGGAAAGGAAGACTGCTGACGACCACATTTGGATGGCGCCTTCGTTCGACCTACTGCACGGAGCTCCTTGGTCTTCCAGCGAGTCGGCACACGGCCAGGCCCTCCCTCCTCCCTCCCTCGCCTCTCCTTCCCTTGCCACCTTCTTCCTTCCTCCCTCCCCTTCTCCCTCCGACTTCCTCGCTTCTCAAGACCCACTCGTATCTTCCCCCCTTTCCTCCTCCCTTCCCCGTCTAGGTCGAGAACACCCGCTGGCTGTTCCACCTCCACAAAGTCCTGGCCGGCGCCCTCCTCATCGCCCACCTCATGCACCACCACGGCGTCTCCCTCCTCGTCCACTGCTCCGACGGGTTCGTGACGCCCTGGCTCCTCGCCTTCCCCCCCCTCCCTCCGCCTCCTCATGCCGCGTCATCCGCACGCCTCTCCTTGACCTCCGTCCCAACCTTCCTTCCCTTGTCTGTCCCTTCCTCTTCTTTGACCATTTTCCCGGTCCTTTTTTCCCATTCCTTGCTGTCCCCTCGTGCTCCATCCTCGCACAATATTCTCATCTTTTGCTGAAAGTCCTTCAATTTCCCTCTCACTTGCCCCTCTCTTCGATTCCCTCCCTTTGTCCGTCCCGCTTACCACAGGTGGGATAGGACCGCTCAGCTCTGTGCGACGGCTCAACTGCTGATGGATCCGTTCTATCGGACTCTGACTGGCTTTCAGGTGAAGGGGTGGAAAATAGGGAGGAGGGGAGGCAGGCAGAGAGGGAGGGAGGGCAACATTCGTGAGGTCGTTCCCTCCTCTCGCCGTCGCGCTGGCCCTCCCCTCGCACCAACCTCCTGTCTCGCCCTTTCCCCTCGACAGGCCCTCATCCACAAGGACTGGGTCGCCTTCGGCCACAACTTCACGCGCCGCAATGGCCTCGACAGGCAGGGCTACGCTTCGAACGAGCGGGCCCCGATTTTTGTGCAGTGGCTCGACGTCGTCCATCAGGTACGTCCTTGCCTCCATATCCTCCCTCCTCCCTCTCTTCTTTCCCGCCTCATTCCTCTTGAATCGCCGGCCACCGAAGGTCGTCTTTTGCCGTCGTCGGTCCGGTACGCTCCTCGCTCCTTGCTTCCATTTCCTCGCCTGACATCCCTCGACGGCCACGATCTCTTGCTCGTACCCTCTCTTTCTCCTCCTTCTGCATGTTACCCCTCTACAGATCCTGCGACAGTTTCCGAATCGCTTTCAATTCACAGAAGGGCTTCTCCTCTTCTTGGCTCGCCACGCTCATGCTGGCTGGACAGGCGACTTTCTGTACAACTGCGAGAGGGAGAGGTAGGAAAGAAGGGTTCAGGGAGGGTAGGAGGAGACGAGAGAAGGGCGGGCTCCAGCATCTCTTGAGGGATGATGCAAATATCTTCTTTCTCCCGCTGACAGGACCGAGGCACGTGTAACAGAGAGGAGTATCTCTATCTTCGCCCTCATAGACGCCAACAGGCACCGGTAGGTCAACTGCTCGCTTACTTTCCCCCTCGATCATCTTGCCTTGGAGGGCAAGCCAAATACAATCATGTTCGCCTACGGTCCAACCTCTCATCTCTCTCCTACGCTCTCTTCCCCTCAGCTTCCTGAACCCAGCCTACCAGTCTTCCTCTTCGGCCTCGTCTTCTTCCTCACTCCTCACCCCGGTTACTAGCAGCAAACGCCTAGTGCTTTGGGAGGCTTACTTCTTCTCCTGGCAGACTGAGCTGTATGAGCTTGGTAAGGAGACATAGTGCAAGGAGTACTCCTACAGAAACGACCTCTGAGGATTCAGATCCCAGGGAGAGAAATGCTCGCATAGGTCACGAGACTCTCGCATTTGTCATGACACTCATTTATCCCTGTTAATCTCGACGCTTAATCACAGCCTGGCGTCAGGGTACTGGTCACCTCCCTGCTTGAAGGAGGCGACCACTGAGGAAAATGTGGTGCGGCTATGCGACGGTGAAGGCCCGAGGAAGGAGGAAGAGGAAAGAGAGACAATGAACTGCGGGAAAACGGACTTTAACGAAGCCGCGGTGCACATTGCTGAGTGAAACAAAGGAAAATTTATAAATGTCCTATATCTTGTTGTTTTAATACTTATTTTTCATCCACCAAAAATATTAAGTCCTGCTCCTTCTCCCATTCAACTTTTTTAATTTCAAACTTTTTTAAACATCTCTGTTGTACCGCTGTCAGATTTATTATGAATATCTGTAAAGGTTTTAAGGTGTAATCGGAGACGTGAAAGGAAGAAAGGGATAAACAGATTACAACAAAGAGAGGATGAGGTGGAAAATACGAATCAAAAAAGCGATTTAGTATCATTAGAGGGAAATGATGTGTTGAGGCCATAAATTTAGCATTTTTGCAAATGGAGCCTGACATTGCTCTATATTAATTTGAATAATAATGTGTATCCTTACATCTCAAAGTACTCTTTAAAATGAGCGGACATCAGAATCATTGCGCCTTAAGCATAAACTGGAATAAACAGAGCAATATTGTGCTGGACAAGTGTATCAAAGCGAAATCATAGGAATTTGCAACAGCATTTGAAAGATTTAGCTTTACATTTCAAAAAAACTTGATGACGTCAATGTTGCACAATGTATAGAAAGCAAGAGAACTTTGCTTCATTTTTTTAAATTGGTTTACACGTGAGGCGACAGGGTGGCTGAAATTGGCCTGTTTAGTTCGTCCTCCGACTTTTATCTTCAATAACGGAAGGAATGGCTGCTCATGCTAACAGCATGCGCGCCAGCAGGTCTCGAATACATTGGCGAATCCTAAGACTACGAAGAGCGTAGTACCGCCGTTTCTGACCGTTACTCAAAATCGCTCTGAAACGGGTATCCGTTACGCCTGGTTTTCTGCCGTGATGCTTTTTTTGGCGCCTCAAAGATTCTTCAGTCCAGGAATACAGAATTATAAGAAAGCAAACTACATATGGCAATCTTAAGAGGATAAGATGCTGTCTTAGTGTGCGAGACAGGACCAATGAAACAGCCATATTTTATAAGGGTATAGCGATCCCGCGGCTGAGCAATGCCCCGAACTGTACTATAATGAAATGCACGACGAAATGAGCGATCGCTTACGAATTCCTCATTTAAACAGGGAAATATGAAGATCACTCGCTTTCCATCCTTAATCGCTATCGCATTATTTTGCGCCGTCAGTATTGCTCGAGGTCAGGAAGATCCACAGCGTGCCTCATTCCATCAGACTGAAGAAAAGATTCCACTACCGGAGTCTTCCACACCTACTACTTTCATATCCCGTGTCTTCCGGAGTCTCTTTGCATTTTCAGCTCTGTTTGATGATATTGCCAGGACCACCGCACATACGGACTCTCCAATTTTGATTTACAAAGGCGCAGGCACTGAGGCGTGGGGGGTCTCGGCTTTTCGCGCCATTGAAGATGACTCAAAACTGAAGTCTAATCGTACCATGCTGAGGGAGGGTTCAGGAGCGAACTCTCCTAAGGGGTATTCTTTGGTCGAAGACAGGCCTCGTTGCTACTTCACACTGGGAAAAGACTACTGCCCTGCGGCCACGAACAATAAGTGGACAGATTATTACATGTCCTACATCGAGCGCACGTCTCAAGTGCTGACTAATGCTGCTCGCATGGATCCCCAGGATTTCAAGCGCATCTATAATGGTAATGACGGAGGCACCTACAAGTGCTCGACTCGGACCCTTCCTCCCCTTCGATACAGTGCTAATGCGCAGCAGGCTGCTTTAAAAGAAAGTCAAATGCTGGCTGATCCAAACTGTCCTTTTCAGCACGATACTTGCAACAAGTACTGCAGGCTATACGGTGGCAAATGCAATTGGGATGCTCGCATATCCAAGTACGAGTCGAATTGGCGGGGCATGGGCGAGAACATTGCCATGACACAACGTAATTTGAAGGAGGAACCGAGCGCCCCAGTACTCCAGTGGCTCGCCTCGGGTCCACATTGCTCGAACATCTTCAGTGGGGACTTCTCCCATTTAGGTACTGGTGCCTACGACCGATACTGGACGCAGGATTTCTTGAAATTGTCCGGCTCGACGAATAACCCTCTCCACGACGGGACGCACTACTTGCACCCCGCCAAGACCGGTGGCAAACTCCGGTTCATGGCCTCGTTCAAAAGCTCCTCCGCCCCCAACAAGATGGAGGTGGTGGTGAACGGTCAAGCCAAGTCTATGTCCCTCCACCTAGGGAGCAGCGCTCAAGGCCTCTATGCTTACGAGCAGAGCCAGCCGGGCTCCAGCGCCGGGTGCATCAGCTACTACTTCGTCGTCACCACCTCGAGCGGGTCCACCTATAACATGCCCGAGACAGGCGCCTTCCAGACCGCCACCGTTGGCAAGTGCACCAACAACTGGATCAAAACCCGCAATGCAGGGAGCGGCCCTGCCCCGGGCCCGGCTCCTGCCCCCGCCCCCCGACCGGTCGCTCCTACAAGCCGCCCCACCCGCAGCCCTACTCGCAGGCCTGTATCCCGTCCTACTCGCAGCCCCACACGCCGTCCTACTCGCAGCCCCACACGC